TGTTGTAATTATTATTTTATTCAGCCTTGTTTATTTTATTTTTATTTTTATTTTTTTTATTATTGACAGAAAGTGGCCTGACGTAAAATTGGAATTTTGGTCCCCTTGTGAATTTGACCCCCTTGTGTCAGTGTTACATTTTGGCCATGACAGTAATTTTGAGTCTGATTAATTTAAATGTAATTTATTGCACTGACAAATTGCCACCAAGCAGTTTCATCCAAATAAATATCATATTTCAAATTGTTGGTGTTTGAGCTGCAACAGAGAAGCAGCATGTTGTCCTGCAGGAGGACATCTATGATCATGGAAGGTGAGGGAGACAAACCATTGGAAAATATGAGTCAGTCACAGATGAAGCTGAAATGTTAGGATTCAGAGCACTGACAGAAGAGATGGAAGGAAGATCCTGCATAGAACAAGAAAACGACTAGTAACTTTGTGCAAATAAACTTTATTATAGGAGGTTATTTTTAAAATACAAACTGTCCTTACTTGTTTTTGTTCTGTTGTTGCCAGCTTGTTACAGAAACCAACCTGTAGAGTGTTGAATATTAAACATCTGAATCAGACAGACTAAAGCTACTGATTAAAATAGGGTAGATAAATGTGCACGACATACAAGGTGTGTCTGTAATAAATGCCACATAGGACAGCCCGTGATGCACTACACAAGGTGCCCTCTTTTTTCACTTCAGCTCCTGCCCTCCAAAATGTCTGTGCACAGCAACACTGCCCTGTACTGCAGAGCGCTGCCTCCCTCCCTATGGGTTTGTGACCAACAACCTGTGCACTTTTATTTTCCCCATGACTAATAAAATATGGGAGAGCGGGGCTTGTTGTCACAAGGGCAATTATCTTCTCCACCAGAGGGTGCAACTACTGTAAAAAGTGGAATACGACTAGATTTCTTCCTTTACATGATCAGGTCAGGTGTTTTGACCTATAGAAGAGACGAGCACATTGTGAGGTGAGATGAGCACCAATTAACCTTTTTGCACAACCCAAAGTAAAAAAAAAAAAAAAACAAAACAAAAAAACAGCTGAAATATTTCAAAATAAGCTTCTTTCAGATAAAAAATCCTAACAGTGATGCTTGTGGACTTGTTAGAGGAGACATTAAGGCATCCTGTCATACCTTAGTCATTGTTCAGTTTTAAGCTAACTTTGAGAGGTCRCATTAGAATACAAGGTCGTTTGGGTCAATATGTCTCAGTCATTTTGGGGTAAGTTGTCACATGTGGCAAGTTTCAAAAAGGATTTAAATTAACAGAGAATCTGCTTATCAGTAGTTGTCATAATATTTTTACTTTATTTTTACAGAAAAGGGGTAGTTTAAAGGAGAGCAGAAAGCAACAAGACATGGTCAGGAATTACAATGTCAACTTTATTTATAAAACATTTTTAAAAACAGCTAATAGCTGCACCAAAGTGCTGTACAGCAATCCACAAATATCACAAACTACAATAATTGCTAAAAATACAAAAATTACAAATGGAAAACAGCACATTGCAGTGCAGAACCTGACAGGATGTTGAGGGCAGTCAGGCAAATGACCCTACAGGTAACTAATAAATCAATCAGGAGGACCCAGGACTGACCAGATACTCTAGGCCAAAGCACCAACCAAGCTATTCCAGTCCCTAGCAAGCCAGCCATCATCTTAACCAACACATTAACTCCAGAGGATATTAGGCCTTACTCAAAAGCTGGTCCAAGAAAAGAAGTTAAGCAGCAGAGGAAAAAAATAGAAAAACTGCTATTCTCACTGACACACCTGTGAAGGAGGCACTTGACAGGTAAAGGGGAAAAAAAGACCATTTGAAAGGAAATGCAAGACAACCAAATCCAAAACACCAAAGAAGCAAAACACAGGGAAGAAACTATAGGTAGAAAAAGGAAAACTAGAGAAGATGAGTCCCTGTGCCTGGTCTGTGTGGAGCCATTTGGAAACAGCCAGGAGAAACATGGGTGCAGTGCATAWTATGCAAAGGATGGACCTATGAAGAATGCACCCCTGGCAAATCAATCTACGCATGCCAGAACTGTGATTCAGATGATGAGTCTGACTGTGAGGAAATTATTTGACAGTTTTTTGTTTGTTTGTTTGTTTGTTTGTTTTATCAAGATTTTATGAATGGATCTTCTAGTTGTCATTGGAACAAGGTTCATATTTCAGGACTGGTCTAAGTTTTATAATGAAACAATGCTTTTTTAAAATTGAATCTGGAATTTATTTTTGAGCTAAAGAAAGGTAAAACACGCATTTGAGGCTGAGAGCTATAGTTTGGCCTGTGTGCAAGCAGTTCTCAAGGACTGTAATCCATTTCATGTTACATATTTCTTATGTTAGCATTTGTTCAATTATTTTTTCAAGCTCAATAATAAACATTTTCTGTGCCTGACTTCAACTCTCAACTTCACTTTTGAGTAAAAAAAAAAGAACAGCAATAATTTTGTCATTGGTTTATTAGTTGCAAAATCCAGTATGACATCTTACCCCATACAGTGAGACAACTTACCGTGTTGCGGGGCAACATGTCACATGTTCACTCTCTCTATTTGATTGCTCATAACTCTGCACTGATGCAAAATGTGAAAATGACATGGATACAAAATATATACCCAAGACTTTGGTCTTTCATCTGGTACGCATTTCTTTTTTACATGATGTTTTGCTTCCAAAAAATATATAAAAGTGTAAAAAGTGTGACAACAAGCCCCGGTCTCCCCTATCTATCAAACGCAATTTAGCCATGTTAATATATTTGCTTAAACTTGAAAGATTTTTAGATCAGTTTAATTTATCCAAAAACAATCTTGATGAACATCTCTCAGAGGCTGACCCACCAGTATAAAACCCACAGGGCTCTGAAAACATGACCCAATATAAGATGTTACCAAATATTCTTCACATTAAAACTATTAGAGACTTTAAATTCACAAATTCAAGCAGAAATTATATTGCTTTAATAATGGAGAAACACATACAGTACACTGGCTTTATTCTAAAATACACAGTAAGTTCCATACTTTAGGTTCATAGTGAATATAAGCAGATTCAAGTTGGTTCAAGGTTCTTTAATCAAGATTTGGATTACATGTTGGTCAAAATCTGATTGTCCTCAAGCAGGAACATATTTATCAAATGCTGATTATGTCAAATACAAATTATCTTTAACTAAAATTATACAAATACAGATGACTCATAAACAAAGAAAGAATTACAATCTGCTTTCAAATTTTGATAATTCAAGTGATAAATTAAAAAAGCCCAATTTGTTAAAATTGCATATGGCACTTCTTGTTCCATTAAGTTTTTAATTAAGTTTATTTGAACAAATAGCAAGGGAACTGAAAAGATATTTAGAACTTTTAGAAGTGGGGTTCTTTGAAGGCTCTGGATAATGACTTTAAAATAGTTTAAATCAGTTTGTTGAAACAGTTTAACTCTGACAGGACTGATCTGTCTGAATGGAGTCAAAACCAAAGTGGTAAATGGTTCACAGATTAAACATCATCTCTTTAACCTCCACAGCTTCTGCAAAGACAGAGTTTACAGAGTTACTCATTCACACAGCATTATGTACTTTTACACACTATGAACAGCGTTTTTTAGATATTCTCACTCATACAGGAAAGGCATAGCAGTGAGGGGATACAGTGTTTTGCTTAAGGACACTTTGGCACACTGTAAGCTCATGCAGAGAAAACCTTCCAAACAAAGAATCTACACACAAGTCTCCCCCCAAAATATTATCAAAAAATAGTTCAGGTGTAAAAAATGTAGTGGTTCAAACAGTTATTTAAAGCTTTACGGTGTCAAATTATTTTAGCAGACATATTAGGATGTCCCCGTACATACTGTAAAACTGACAGCAGTTTGTGAAGTAGCATTAATGTGAAACAATCAGCGCTTGGACCAAAACAGTAAAAATAATCTAATAAACTAATTGTCATAATAAACTAATAATAAACTAATGTCATTATTCAACAATATGTTTCAATAGTTTTGTGAAGCCATAGTCAAAAGAGAAACCAAACAAAATACAATAAACTTACATCTTTATGAAACACTGGGCCAGAGGGTTTTATCATCTTCTACCAAATACACATTGGACCTTCTGACGACTCTCTGTCCATCCAGGACTTTGAGGTCTTCAAATGCTGCTTGTGGTCCCTCGAACCCATTATAAAACTCGTGGAGATAAAGCTTTTCAGGTGGTGGACCCGAGGCTCTGGGATGCTCTCCCTCTGTCCTTTCGCTGTTCAGATTCTTCTGACTCTTTTAAGAAACATCTTAAGACATTTTTATTCAGACAGGCTTTTAGTTAATGYGCTTTTTATTGTGTTTTAATTGTTGTTTTTTATATTTGTGATCTGTTTTATTGTTTTTAGTTATTTTGCTCTCTGTTAAGCACTTTGTGATGTTTGTGTCTGTGAAAGGTGCTATAGAAATAAAGTTTACTTACTTACTTACTTACTTACTGACTGACTGACTGACTGACTGACTGACTGACTGACTGACTGACTGACTGACTGACTGACTGAC